TATTCGTCTTCGAGCTAAGGCACTTTTCTTATTCGGTTTCGTGTTGTGAAACTTCATACCAAGAAACAAAATTTATACGCTGTGATTTTTTGGTATCAACTTGAAGTACTGCGAAAAATACTTAAATCTATTCGAACGTTTCATTTTAATTTTATCGAGAGATTTACTATCTTTACTGGGTTTCATTCTGTAAGCAATTTTATTTTCCTTTTTGTTAAAAATAATTGGGAGTCGGAGAACTGCGTATCTTAATTTCGATTTTATTGCATTCTGATTAACAATCAAATACTAATAATAATAGGGTGGAAGAATTCGAATCTTGGAGTCTGGGATGTCTTCCAGCTCGCAAGAAGCCTGATCTCAAGAAGAAGTTTGATTACTGGATTATATCCCCAGGATGTCGGTAAAATAACTCGGGAGGAGGTTTATTGATTAGGTCGATTGAACGATCCTTCAGAAAACATTTCACAAAACAACCTTAATCAACTTAGGGGAGACTCCAAGCATTATCGTTACGGACAAGGCTTTGTAAGAACGATATTACCCGAAAATTATTTCGTTTTATTCTTCTCAAAAATTATTCAAATAATATGTTTGAGTTCACTTGCTGTCATAATTTTTCGAATAATTAGAAATCGTTGCTTTGTTAAAGTACCTTTATTCGTTACAAGTGTTTGTCTTGAATGAATTTATATTATATTTTATTATGTATTGCACTATCAACCAAGAGGATTGTTTCATTTGATAATTATTTAAGGATTTCTGAGCAAAGGAAGAAACTAACCATTATTAATAATATTTCTATTCTTTCTTTGTTTAATTTTCTTGAAGAGATTCGTTAAAAAAAAACATTCCTCTAAGTATTGGACAAATTTCCATTCATCCAAGTTGATTCCCTGGCAAATTGTTGCTCGCGTCTAACGACGTTTCGTTGATGGAACGATAAGATAATAACACGAAAAACAGGTATCCCCCTAAAAAAATTCATGAATCCCGCTGCTCAGGAACATTTTGCTCCGTCAGAAATATCCTCGAAATGATCTAAGAAGTATCTCCCCTATGGAGAAGTAACTGCCTCGAAATGGAGACTGCGATTCATTTTATCGTTGACCCCTCGAAGTATCTCATCTATTCCCCATGCTATGCTTTCGTTGCCTACGTTTTATACGTTGGCATCTGCTCCACGATGTCCAAAATCGGAGGCTTCTGGTTTGCAATTATCGTACCTTGCTGAATAAATGCGATAGAAAAATATTCGAAGAAATTATCTTCTCGATCGTTGTTTCTTACTCGAAGATACAACTCGATTTGTACACAACTTGACAGTATTAAAAATTCTGTAATTTCCCTAACATATTAATTAACAGGTTGCAAAAGTCATAGAAATCGTGTATTTAAATTTGCACGGACAATTTTAATTTAACGATCGATGTAAGTTAATAATTCGAGGGTTTCGTGTTCCGAGAATGTTAATTAGAGTTTCTCGCAATAAATCTATACCGGTGCTCGACAAATAAAAGAAAGGATCGCCAATAAGGCAGTGCAATACTATTCTATCGAGAAAGTGTATTTACCTTGTATACAACGAGCTCTGTATCGTGTTTACAGTGCTGTGCCATTTAATTAACCGAAGCCTCTCTGAATTTGTAATTAAGAACACTTGCATTTTATTACCTCCGGCGGAAACGTACTGCCGGCTAAAATGAACACACTGCGTGTACGTACAAAGTAAACCGCTAATAGAGATATTAATTACATACATCGCAATTAACCACAAATATAAACAGCATTTAAACAAATAATCGTACGTAATATCTCAACGTTACAAATTAAGAATAAATGTTGGCATTTAATTCATCGTCAGTCAACACGTATCTTTCGATTTATCGTACACTTGCGTCGCGTATGCTTTTTTGTTCTAATTTAAGAATTTTTTTAGAAATTTGTATAAAAATTATACAAGTGTTTAATAAAACACTCTCTGTTATGCTTACGAGTTAGGAATTATTTCCAACGATATGATTATTATTTTCACGGTTCAGTCTGGTACAGGCAGGGCCAAAGTGTCAAGCACCGACTCGTTTAGGCTGTCAGAGACAGAAGGCGATGCATCTGAATTGTTTAGTGTGGTACAGATATAGAATAGTTCATTTCGCATGTACCATTCTTACTCTCTTATCTCTCTTCCTCTTTCTGTTATATTTTACATAAAGTAATACATTCGCTGAAAATAGCTTCTTTATTTAAAATTTAATTCTCTGCGAGACTTGAGTCAGACGTTGCTTTAAAATATATTTATAATGATTTAAGTTGATTTTTAATTGAATTATATTTTTTTCTGATAATAATAAATATTAAAAATTAGAAAAGAAACATCTTACATTGAAGACTGCAATTCTTCTGTAATGACTTCTACCAAACTTTATTTACTTTTATTCTCCTCACTGTAGAATTTCTCCTCAAAAATGTTGGTCTTACACTTGATTTACGTTGGTGTTTTTGCCGTTACGTTGCTGTGTTAGCGTTCAGTTTCTTCTCGTTTATGTCTTTTATATTCTTTTTCGTTAGGTTTTGTCAACTCACTCTAAACTCACCCTTTCTTCGCGGTTAGTAGTTTCGTTGACCGATTACGACGATATGGTTTATGGTCTCTGTTTTTCTTCTGGACTATCACGCTTTAGTAAATTCGAGTACGTTCTCTGTTCTATTGATCTGGCTGACTGGATACACAGCAAAGATCGATTATTAATTTTTGCTGCTTCGTTTGCAAAATCCTTGCCTCAAAGTTTGCTATTTAATCAGTTCCAGCATGGTAATTATTGGGTGATAGAAAACAATTAAATTTTGGATAGTTCTGGCATATAAAAATTAAAATAATATATTACGATGCACATGTTCGAGACTTTATTTCACGAACGTGAAGAATGATTGTTTTATTTCGTTGTTTTCTCATTCTTCAGACGATAATTCTTTAGTAAAATAATCATTACCAGTGATATATGATGCAGCCTCATTGTACATTAATTGCTATAAATATCATAGTGGCCTTGATCCCGACTACAGTATTTTGCTTAAAGTTCAATAGCATCCACGTTGTATCAAATTAATAAAATATTGTTATGTATAATAAACACCGTTATGAATATTTAAATATATATTTTCGCGCACTGATGCACGGATTAAATAATTTTCGTGTCTAGGGACGAAAAATAGAATATTTTTGCTATTATTATTATTTTGAAAACACTTTGTCAGTCGTGTTCGTACCCAACGTTGTCTATTTCTTCTAAAACGTTAAAGTGAATTTTCTCAAGAACGTAAACCCATTTTGTCGAACGGTACGAAGCTTCCGGCCATATTGGAACAGAAGTTGGTACGCAAACAAATATGCAAGTCGCTGCTCCCCTAAACATTTACACTGAAATTCAATAACCTTTCGACAGTTTCGCTCGACTCGATGTTAGAAAGTTTGATAAAAGTTAGAGGCTATTCGCGACTTTAATATATTCTTTGTGAACACATCGTTTCTTGAGTCTTCGCTCTTTAAACAGCGCGAGATAAGACGACTCAGATAAGGTGAAAGATCAATAGATAGTACAAGTATGTTTTGAAAAGGCGAGTTTGTCTTCCTACTGTAATTGTGCAACAGTGAAAAATCAATTAACGATAAGACGGTCTTGAAAATTATTTTTACGCGTACGATAAAGTAAATTGTTGAACGTTCGTTTGGTCAGAAACAGCTCCATAAGTTACGTTTTTAATATTCGATGAAAATTTTGTGGAAATACAAAATGTAATTACCTACTTAAATTCTGCGTTTTTTGTGCAATGATGTTACGTGTTATTTAATGTTCACTGAGGGTGTAGATTTATGGAAATTAGGGTCTTTTTTAAAAAAAATAATAAGAACGGAACCGATGCCAACTATTTTTTTAACTGGTCGATGTTAGCATGAGAATATTCATTTTCATTTTGTCGAGTATGTGGAACACTAGGCGTCATGACGACTCCGTTTTCTTGGTCCCTGTCAGGCGTGTGCCAAATCCGCACAGACTATAAATTTTCCCAGCCTCGTACTCGTCTTTTACACTTCTACACACAAGATATTCGCGTAGACTATTTATTGCAAAATTTTTATTCCACCGAACCGTCCGGAAAATTTTATTTTGCCCATATTAATGTCAAACTATTTGTTGATCCATCCTCTAAAAAATGTTTACCGTCACAACGTTGAGAATAATTCGATACTCGACACTCGTAGAGCTTGGACGGCACTTCAGAAGTTTCATATTTTTTTGAAGCGTGCTCAAAGGCACTTAAACTTTTTGAAGCATTCATTTGGAGATGCAGAATCAAAGAATAGAATGATATCCTTAATTGCAGTGTGCGTAGCTTTGCTTTAACGTGGTCGTAATGAGTAAACAAGAAAATATTTTCCTTTAATAACTGCAACATTGAGTTGACGAATTGTGGTGAAATTTTAAATTCTGATTCGAAATTTTGGATCTCCTTTACAAAATTATTTATAATAAGGGTGCATAATTTGTTCAAAGAAAAGAAAAAAGAAGTTGTTATCGATTCAACGTTATTGCGGTACGCTGTTTGCTTAAATATTCCGGATTTTATACCAATTTATATCAGCTCGATCGTCGATGACCTCTCGTTTCAACAATACATAATCGGATCATCGAATGAATGGTTTCGAGAGTTGTTGAACCGGATCGTCGATTAAAACCCGCTGTAATGTAATTTTGATGAAGCCTTTTGAGAAAATGATTTATCGGAAGTTACATAGCTATTAAAATCGGTACAATGAGGCATAAAGCACGATACAAAAACTAACGAGCAAAAAATAATCACGGAAGTGCTCTTGTGATTAATAGAGTCTAACGTTTATTCTTTTTCAAGATCACGATTAATCATTCCCACTTTATTCTTGCACCGGACAAGATTTATGGTTCACGTGAGATTCTAATGATTCGTTGCGATTCGACTTTCAGCAAAATCTATTGTACCGGGGACTTGCTGAAGACCATACAGCTGGCCGAAATCTTTCCAGACAGCAAGACATTCGTCGATCTTCATCAGTTACACGATCCTGATATCACTCTTGCCAAGTAAGTATCACTCGATTATCTCTTGAAGCGCACTTGTACCACATAGTTTCCTCCTTAGGTCGTAATAACATTAATTAGTATACGTTAAAGAGGGTTCAAGGATCCGAGAATTCCGAAAATGGTCCACTATTCCACAAAGTAGATCGTAACTTATTCAAAACATTTTTAATCTAGATTTTTTTGTAATTGATTCCTCTGGCAAATAGAAAAGTTTCTTCTAAATTTTGTATTCATTTACTCATTGTACTACGATTTCTGTCTGAAGTTATGCTTTTTAGCTGTTAATTTTTTATTGTAACTTGTAGAATAATTTTAGAATTACTATTTTATATGGGCCTAGATAGGTTTGTCCAAGAAATGTTCTAGTCTCGGTTTGTATCTATTGTCAAAGTCTTTCGTATCTGTCCGAACGGTTCTGATTCTCAAATCTATATCGCGGAGTATTGATTGCACTGACACAACTAACTTTTCTGACATCGCTATTAGCTGCTGTCGTCCAATAGTTCGATGCTATCTGTCCAGACAAGCTCCACGATAGCTTTATAGAGAACGTTCCACTGGAACACAATAATATTTTTGCTACGTTATATAACAGAAAAGAATATTCTTCCAAACAGTTGTTGCACGTCAGAAGTTTCTGTATTTCACTCGAATAACAACCAAGAAAGTCGATCGATTAAATTTGACAGTTTGGAAATATATTTTCATAAAACAGGTGACTTTTCACTATTCTCTGTTTGCGTTCCAACTTTATACGATGCACGTGCAGCTGCTCGACCTTATATCAGTTTGTTTCGACAAAACGTTGAAAGCCAAACACGTATTCTTAGCCCAACGAGCCGAAAAACGATTTACGTCGATTTGTTCGGGACTTCCTCGTGCTAAATCACTCGATCCCGTTAGGACGTTTGTTGTTGCCCCTTTACGATGCACGGTTACATTCATTTTCCTTCGGCTTTATCGCGTCAGATTGCAAGCGTCGGGTGTGAAGCGTAAATGTGGAAGGAAATGACCGCCAGTCATCCGTTTGAAGCAAAATTTACGTGCATATACTTTGTCACGAACAGATTACAGCTGCACAGGAATTTATAAATACTAGATGATAAAGAAAAAGTCTAACATTCTCGTTAATAATAATTAAACGAAGTCTTTGAGAACCAGTGGCCCATTTAAAAAACCAAAAATAATAGATTGATTTTTAGAAACGTCTATGGCATTTGCATAGGTCGTTAAACCCTTCGTGAGATAATTCTTCTTTCCCATTGTCTTTGGTCGATAAGTCGACAGCTTGGATGTCCAAGACAAGCGTTCCCGTTACTCGATGTGTCGTGATTAATTAACCAGCCAATCGATTCCGTTTGTGGTCGGACAGCTTCTACGCCCTGATGAATGCAACGAATAATGCACCTAATCGGACGCAACTGACGCGGTACGTGAACGAAAATTTCGCGTCGTCGAACGAGTTGTTTAATTGGACGCTGCCGGATTGGACGGAGGAGCCTTCGATCTTGCAGCGGATCCAGGACCCGAAATATCGCGAATGGGTGAAGGATCTGAACAGGATCTGGAAAGAACTGGCGAAGAAGATGAACGACGACGTGGCGAAGTACCCGGAGAGACACAGCTTGATCTACGTGGAGAACGGTTTCATCGTCCCTGGTGGACGATTCAAAGGTAACCTTGGACTTTAAAAAATGCTTCAAATATTTTTTATTCCCGTTAAATCTTGTCGAGACTGGATCGAAACAAATACAAATCAAGAGTGAGATTATTAGAAATGGTAGCTTTGTAGAGTGTTGTCTGAACCCCTAAATAATTCGTATCTTATAAGATTATATAGTAAGACAATCGTTTAACACGATAGTAATGTAAATCGATCCACTCGAAACTAGTTTCATTCGTGCAGGCCTTATTTGTACTGCATCAATTTATAAAAGAAAAGTGATTTCGATACTTTTTTGCTTGCACAGAGTTCTATTACTGGGATAGTTACTGGGTGATTGAAGGCCTGTTATTATCCGACATGTATCAAACTGCCAGGGGAATGATAGACAATTTTCTGTACATGGTGGAAAAATATGGATTCATACCCAACGGTGGCAGAATTTATTACCTCATGAGAAGCCAACCACCCCTATTACATCTTATGGTACGTCATACTTTTCCGATATTAATTTTCCGATCGTCTCTTCCCTCTTTAACAAACACTTTCAGCGCACTTTTGCCAGACAAAATTCCACATTCCTCGTGTAAATAATATCGAAGAGTGTTTTTCAAAAATAATTTTGTCTGTTGTAATTTCATTTGCCAAAGGTTTAAATGCTTGCATTTGAAAGCAGTTTTTCTGAAAGTCCCTTGTAAGTTTCGATTCACTTCACAACGCGAGCTACGTATTAAAGAGCCAACGTTGAACGAGAAGCAGTTAGGTAATTGAACAAAATTGCGACGGCTAGATTGAACTGAGATTCCTAAATAATCTGATTACTTAGAAATCCGTTTATTACATGCGTTTCTGGAAGTTCGACAGATCAATTCGGAATGCAATTTCAATCGAGTTTAGATCTCGTTGACCACGGAACGGAATTACGTAGCGTGTTCCCAGAAATTTCAACCAGCTGCCTGATGGTAGATTTACGTGTACTGTGGGCCTACCTATATCGAAGACGGAACAGAAATTTTAAGCACCATACGAACTTAACTTCCCGGATAACTTATCTAGCCAAAGTTTTCGCGTTTCCCTTTCTACGGAGTTCTAGGCCAATGTTCGAAGTATTCCTCGCGTTCGAGTTCGCGGCTCGATTCTTGTGAAACGTCAGAAATATTACACAGACATTGGTATATTCGGTTCAGGCAGGATACGTGATCAACAATAGCTTTGTACTTTTCAAAATCAAATACCAGAATGAGGGAAAAAGATCATTAAAAGCAACGATTGTCAAAAAATCTGTTAAATATGTACATTTGTTATATCGACCGGTAGAAAAACATAAAGTGTAGAAATGATATAAATTCTTCTAAAGTGATAGAATTGTAAAGTGTAAAATATCAGAAAATTAGAATATCTGGTTTTCAGATATTTATTAATTATGAGTAATATAAAGAAGTAATAAATGAACTGCATTTGATCATATAGTACATATAATACTTGTTTCAATATAATAAGCAATATACTGAAGCTTTTAATTAAAAGGATCTATTTAAATGGTTTCTCTACACAATTAAATGTTAAAGCTTCATATGATGCACTAATTGTATATTTGAATAATTTAATTAATAACGAAAATATTGTCCAGGAGTGGAAACGTTAATTAATTTTAAGCGGGGATATAATATATCCTTTATTATATTTTCCTTGTTTATTTCTACTTATTTTTTTCCTTTTCTTATATTGTACTTAGATCTTCATATTATATATTTTGTGATAAATCGTTATCCTCGTTGATAATAGTAACAATATAATGTGTACGCCTTGCAAAGATCAATAGAAACGAACGAAAGATATTAAAGCATCCTGCAATGTCAGTCGAGGAAGCGACGAAAATCACTACTATACAAACTTTTCACATAAATGCAAGAAAAGTACATTTCGCCAGCAAGTGAAAATCTCTACCTATGCCCAGAATGCTCAAGAGACGTTCGTGAATGCACACGTTCGCTCTTACCTCTTTGACAAATCCAACAATAATCTCTAGCTCGTCCACGACTCAGCTGCTTTCTCGTCGTAAATCGTGTTTAAGAAGTTTTCTTTCCTCTTGTATTCTTTTACCGAGTCATGAGATAATCTAGATAAAGAATAAAATCCTAGTGGTTTTTCAGAAGTGATTTATTCCCTCGGTAGCGGTGAAATTGCGGAAATTGAGATAGGAAAACGAAATATTAACACGACATTAACACTAATATACATACAATGTTATTTTACAGCCATTTATGCAAATAGGAAATATGTAGCAAAGGTGAAAGAAGAGAATCTTTAGAATCCACTGTATTAGAACAGTCTAACAACGCGTATTAAAAATAGTTAAATTTTACACGCGTGCAGTTCCGGAACTGCTAGTGTTTTATTAATAATTGAGGCATTGTTAGAAGCGGTGAACCTTCCCCTTTAAAATGGCTTTTGGTTTTTGTCGATCGGACTTTTCGTTTTCGAGATATCGTAATTTATGTAAAGGGGTAATTTTTTTAATTCGACTATCGCTGTCTCCGTCTGACGCGTCGCGCTGGACCTCTCTTTCTCGCACGTGACTCGCGATCGAGTGGTCTCGTGACCTAGTTTCAATGCGCGCGTGCGGTCAACGACCTTGCCAAGGCCGCAGCAAAAAAGTAAACAAACTTCGGACCCTTATATTTCCGGAACTAGCCACCGCGTCGACTTGAAACTAAAATCGCCATATCTCCGGAACCAATAAAGCTATCGACTCGTACAAACGCTCATTTTAAAGGGCATTTCATCCCCTATCGAACGAATGTAAAAACTATTATCATTTATGCTATCTTCCATGTTTATTTTGACATTTACTTTGACGCTCGACTTGAAACTAAAATCGCCATATCTCCGGAACTAACAAAGCTATCGACTCGTACAAACGCTCATTTTAAAGGGCATTTCATCCCCTATCCGATGACCATATCAACTATTCCAATTTATGCTGTCTTCTATGTTTAATTTCACATTTACCTTGACTCCATGCACCCAAAGAGATTTCAACAGTTCCTTTCGATTATACGACTGGTGCGCGGTATAACAGGATTATAAATTATTTAGTTAATTGAACATAGAACTAAATTTGTATGCAGGATGTTTGCATAATTACTAGCCAGCATTTATTCGTAAATAATTGTTCTCTTCTAAAAATGGCCACTTTCTGATCAAATACAAGCCTAATATCGTTTCGTTACAGACTTTTTCAATCGTTGTATTAACAAAATAAACGAATGAGAAATAAACATTCAGTTAACTCTAGATTTAAATCTGAGGAACCAATAAGCCAGGAAGTAGATCCTGCGATATCTATCCATCTGTTAGAAAATCGTTCGTTCAAGAACTGTCTGGCTACTAGGCTGAAATGGAAAGCTGCATCGACGCGCATAAATCACCTTCGACGTTCGATATCTGGTAGAATTTCCTTCCATAATTCATGCAATTTGTTACTAAAAAAATTGACATGTTACATTTCCAATATAGAAAACAAGGAGTCTATTTAATATTATGTGCAAACAGTTCAGTAGAATCTAACTATTTATAAAGGGAAGGTTTCCAGTGAATGAAGTTTTCTTACAAACGTATACATTTTTAAAATGTGTTTTGAGATTTAACCGTATTAAATAACATAGAATCCGTATTTTAAAGTAGTCGCGATTTGATCCGATTTGTTTCGTTCAGCCCTTCAAGGAAGCGTACAGCTCACGAAGTAACATCAAGAGGGTAAAACATTAGGCTACAGATAACGATACTCGCAATAACGAGACATAGGTTTTTGATACAAATCCAATCTTGTGGGATGTATCGAATTATATTTAGGTGTCGTTGAGACATTTTATTGCAATTTGTTTAACTATCAACATGAGTTGTTTCACAATATTTGTTATACTTAGTGCAAGTAGAATACGCCACATTTGCCTACCTATTTCCGAAACACTCTGTGTAGATTCTTCTGTTCAAACAGAACATTTGGACAAAGTTACCTCAACCCCGTAATTGTTCACGCAACTGCACAGATGGTCTTAGACTCGCGATGAAGTTCCGTTCAGAAACTTTGGTTCTAATTTGCAATTACAATTATCAAATACCATTGTCACATAACACGTAAGTCAAGACTACATGTCAGTCACAAGAATATTTGGACACGTGGATTTTATTCGTTTAAAAAATTAAAATAACAGACTTTCTATTAAATAGAAACTGCACTATAATATAATGTAATAGATTCTGTAATATTTTCGCCTCAGTCACAGATCGTAAATGGCAATGCTAGGCAGGTGAAATTTTTGTAGCAGTCTGTACACGACAGGAATATTTTTCTGGGAACTGTTCGCATATGGAAAACACGAAATTACGTTAGCGTACGGTATACCATGCTGCTGTTATTTGAAAAACCGTGCGAGTAACAGTGTCCTTAAGGTGGAATGGAAAAGTTCCGAGTTATCCAGAAACAGAATTGCTCGTCGTCCGCAATTGTACGTATCGAAACTTTTAGCCCGTATATCACTGGAAAAGTTCGATACGCGAGCACTCTCGAATGCAACGAGCCCTTTAATGTGTTCTCAGTAAGGATATTCGGTCGCGTTACGGCTCTGGTCCTCCTGTTTGCTTATTTCAAGTGTATCGAAGTTTCGGAAGAACGATGAAGAATATCGTCAAAGTTTACAAGACAGTACACGCTGTCCTCGACGTTAAATCTCTGTCTCTGTGTTCACCTTAGGTCTCAAAATACTTGCATTACACGAATGACTTGGATTATCTTCGTACCATTATACCGACGCTGGAGAAGGAGTTTGCGTTCTGGCAGAAAGAGAGGATGATAAACGTGCACAAAAATGGAAAGACGTACAAGATGGCGCACTACGTTGTCAGCAGCGCGAGGCCTCGACCGGAGAGTTACAAGTAATCTTTTGTTTAAATTAAATTTCGAAGGGCCACACAGATCTAGGAAACTAAAAAATAGTCAACTAGAACGATACCAAATTTTATTGTTCGCTATTTTCGATCGTGGGAGCAATCCTTCTTCAGGCATTCTAAGCAGTTTGGAATTTTATGAAGCAAAAACTATTCGAGATATCAGTTTAACACTCCACAGATTTATTTGCACATACTTTGACGAGTTACATGAATTTTTTCACGCAACAACACACAGTAGTTTCAAAGATATTAAATTTTCATTTTTGTACTTTCATTTTTATTTCATTGCTGTTTCTTTTAATTTATTCGCGATTAAATGAACGAAAGAACGCAAGGAGGGCAATTACAACTTGTGGATTCGTATTTTTCTCGTTTCAGGGAGGACTATCAGTTGGCGCAACAATTACCTGAGAAGTCGCGGAATTTCTTTTACAACAATATAAAAGCTGGCGCCGAAAGCGGTTGGGACTTCTCCAACAGGTGGTGCGTGGGAAGTAACGAAAACGGAATGCTCAGTTTACTGAATATATCCACTCAGTATATTATACCCGTCGAACTTAATGCGATTTTACAACAAAATGCCGCGCTTCTCAGCAAGTTTCACGGATTTCTGGGAAACAGCGTGGTAAGCATTCAGAATCGAATCGTTTAAATTTTTGTCACAGTTCAAGTTATTAATCGGCGTTATTAATTCTCAATCTAGAAATTCAGATCTCAGAGAAACGTTCGAACTTTATTTAGTAAATTCACTCGAGAGCCAATGGACAAATTCTTTTTCATTCGCTATGGACCACATCTCGAGGGTGAAAACAGTCCTTAAAAATGAAAATTGTTCGAGGCTCGATTTTATTTAATTTTCTTTTTCTTTTTCGCGTCGATTTATGCGAATGCAAATCGTCCGAGTATTGTCGATTCTCCTTTATTGAAAACGTTAACAAAGGGACATGGTTTCCGGGCGAGATTATCAGTACTCGGTGCGGAATAAAATTTGAAACGGTGAAGCGCTAAAGTACGCCAATTTCAGTATCGTCTACATTTCACGCTCAGTACCTATTTAATCCGACCTGTCTTGAGCATGTATAAACGGTGCCCTCTTTCCCGGAATAAATGAAGGTACGCGAGCACGTGCAACAAATCGAAATGACAAAAGATAAGCCCCGCTGCTCATCCGCTTTCGGGAGAATGATTATCCTTAACGATTGTAATTCTGTTGAAAATTTTCTTGTGCTCCTCGTCCTTTGTAAGTTTCTCTCTGCGAGACGGATCAGAAACACGATTTAATCGCACGATTAATTCGTTCCTGAAGCTCGTTTACAGGGACAAAGAACGTTCAGATCCAACGTGAAAACATACTTCTACGATAACTTCTATTAAAATCAGTATTGGGCTGTTACAACACGATAAGAAATATCATTTCGAACCTAGCTGAATTTTTATTTTAATTCTTCACGATGCAACTACCACTTTTATATATTCGTTGGATAAACTGGATGTGTGATTTATTTATACATTTTTGAGAAACGACTCTGCGTTTTGTCCGGTGTCCATCGAAGAATGTTACTCATGGGAGTAGATATCGAAAATAAAAGCTTTTTGTCGCCGTATGAAAGGACTCTTGCTCTTAATAATGTATCCACTTTTCCTTTTGATAGCGACTCCTGAAAGCAAAACTCTCGAATGGACATGGAACATTAGATGCCAGAACGTTGATCGATCGAGGAATGTATAGAGAGTGTCCCATTTGAACCTTCCAAACAGAATTGTTTTCCAATCGATTTTCCTAATAAAACTTTCTTTCGAAAAAAACAATGATTTTAGTTCTGATCAGTTATAAACGACAAGGTTTCTTATTCTGTGTACAGTAGTATGCTTGCAGAACTCGTGAAAGGTTTTAGGTAGAATACGTTCTTTCTTAAAAAAATCGTCATTGTGACGACCCGTGTTTGATTGTTTTCCAGAAATCTCAGTATTTTACGAAGATAGCTAAGCAACTTCAGCTTGGAATCGACAACGTCCTGTGGAACGAAAAGGAGGGTATATGGCTCGACTACGATATAAAAAATAACCGTGCCAGGAATACATTCTATCCATCGAATCTTGCGCCGCTTTACACGAGAAGCTACAATCCACAAAAGCGCGAGAAGTACGCGTTGTCTGCCGTGAAGTATCTAAAACTGCAAACCATCGACAGTTTCTTCGGTAAGTTTCACGAATCACTTTACTAATTTAGATGTCTAATGATCGAAATATAACAGCTACTTCGAACGCGTCGAAAGATAGAAGATCCGTGCTCCTAATCGATTCGCATTTTAATTTCCCCGCCAAGATATAGTGACCTTTAGTTCCTTTCCAGTGGTTCGATTCAATTTAAACTTTCGTCGACCGCGGAGTCGAAGAAATCTTTACCCTTTAAAGTTATTCCCATGAGAATGAAATCGAATGGAATTCAGATAAGAGACAAATGCTCGCCCCTCGATTTCAGTGGTTCCTCGAAAGAAAAATGTTTTACCACGATATACACTATCGTTAAATGCCGTTCTAGTTGGCCGCTCAGTACCTATTTCTGATAAATATTTTGTCGACAAATTAATAATATTTTAATTTTGAAGCAACTTAGAGGTAATCGGTAAATAACAAATTTATAAACTCTAAAATACTCCATCGATACACCACCTTGAAACTGTGGAAATCATTGTATAGCTAGAGAAATTCAGAGGCCTTTGTTTCTGCGAGGGAAATAAATAATTTAATATCGCATTATTGCATCGGTAGTAGCTAACGGGTTAAAATTGAAATGCTGACGATTAGTATGCTCGTCGGATAGGAGAAAGCGTGCTCCTGATGAGCCATTTTCTTTGACGTTGACGTCTAAATTGGTTCCCGAGATGCGAGACTTGGAGATGGAGCATTTAAAATGTACGAGGGTTGATAATGGAGGCCGAAATTCCGGGGAAGCGATGTGACCTAGTTCTTTCGCGAAAATACGCATATCGGAAGTGTAGTAGTGGTAGTAGCAGTAGTAAGGAAAAGCGCTGACTCGGCTTTCATCATTGACCATCGCACAGGTGCCAAGTAGTAGGGTAGGCCAGTAAAAATGTGTGAGCGAGGCAACGCTGGCGGAACAATCATAAATTATGCATCGCTTTAAACGATTATATCTTACGAATGGAAAGTCTCGTCGACGTAAAGTATAAACGATTCGAACGGAGAGAATATTTTACTTCTAACGGTGTTGTAACCTTCTTGCAAACGATTTAAACATTTTTGTTGCTCTCAAATATTACAATATTAGAATTATTTATTAGCTAATATTCCTCTACTGATTCGTGACACTTTTGTTCGCAGGTGGTACACCGACGTCCCTAAATTACACGGGAGAACAGTGGGATTTCCCGAACGCGTGGCCGCCATTGCAGTCGTTTATCGTGATGGGTCTTTACTGGACCAGAGTCACAGAAGCTATGGACTTCGCCAGAGAATTGGCGTCCAGATGGCTGAGTTCTAATTACATCGGTTACATCGAGACTGGACAAATGTTCGAAAAGGTGAGTTTTATATTGGAATTGTATCGATATATTTAGAGGTCTCGTTTCCAGGCAAATGTTTTCAAGTAATTGCATATGTATCGTTCAGAACAGGAATTGTCAGATAAATTTAGTAATGTGAAACATGAAGCTTGAGCGTTAATTAGCAAAAATGTCAAAACAATGATATATCCGAAACATTTCCAAAGAATAATTATAAACAAATGTCGATGAAATCCTTCAGCATCCTTTGTGCAACACATTTTACTATTTGTAAAAAGTAACTTGCTAATACGAGAAGCTAGGTCTGTTCATTACACTTTGAAGGAATTTATCTAGCTCCGAGGGAGAACAATTTGTTTCTCTCGCCTGAATTTTTTTATAGCCTGACATTTTAACAACTCCACTGTAAAATATTTCTGTGAAATTCGTAAAATTGGCTAAGTTACAGAACTTTGAACTGAACTTCCTCTTTATGAACACTGTACGCCCGAGTTGAAAGCAATTTTTCTTGAAACATTTTTCAAGCTCTCTAACATATAATATCTCGCGAGAAAATGAACCGATTTATATGAAATTTTATTAAGTAAATCATTTACACTAAAAAGTATCCCCGAAATTCGACAAAATGCGTCCAACAATTTTTCGCGAAAGAAAGTCCGAATTATCATCGAATTTTTAAATAATGCGGACGATTTTAATTCCCATGAACTTTCCCCGAAACTGTTCCACGCCACTGTTTGTACCACTAAAGGAACAAGTGCCTTACGTAAACATTATCTCTTCTTCTCTATCGAAAGAGAAACTTGAGAAACTGTTTAAGATCGTAAAAGGGTTCTTTCACTGGATAGCAGGTGATGCCCGTCTCTTTTGTAAGGATGACAGAAGGGAAAGCAGGACTGAAAGCTTTCAGAAATATCGTCTAATTTAAGCTGCCCAGTAATCCATCACGCACCGTGTTATATTCCCTTTGTTTCGATGAATACCATCAAATATAATCAAAGTCATGTGATATTCTTAGTACAATACTCGGAGAAAAATAATAAGATTACGTACCGGATGTTCGAAATATTAAAAAAGTTTTAAACGAAACGTGTAGCCCCTGAAAATAAATTCAAATTTATCTCAAACTTCCTTCTTTTCCAGGGATCTCGTTTGTTTATCGAGTAAATATCCTCCTCTTGTGGATAAAACTCTTTCAAATGTTTCACACACAAACGCTGTTTACCCAATTTTCAGCTTAGTTAACAAAAAAATTATAAGAAAGAAGAAACCGACGGAAATTTCCTAATTTGAAAAATATGAAAGCTATTAAAAACGTAAATATTGAGGGAACATTTTGATACGAACGACCGAACATACTCATCCAGTTCAATTAGAGCTTATCTTGCACTAGTAAAAAGAGTCATAAATGCAAGGAAGTTCATCTGATATACTTTACAGCAACGATAAAAATGTGTCCTAATGATCACTTCGTATCATAAATCATACCAAAGATAGTTTCTCATTTCTATTACCATAATAACCATAGAAATTGATATTTTCAACGAATTGTCTTCGCCATTCATACAAATTAATTGTCGATGCATACTGACAGAAGACATCGTTTAAAATATTAATTTTCTTCTAATATGTACACAGAAAATATTTTTCAAGGAATAACAGTGATACAGATAAGTGATAACTTTGTTCTGATTTAGAAGCAGTCGAGATTTAGGGTCCAAGTAAATTATTGCGGACGTATTTCGTCGCGTAACTTTGGCATTTGCATAGAGGGATGAAACAAGTTGTTCAACTTCATTCTCGCGCATTAACGAGGCTTTGGGACGTCACTTTGTTGACTGACATGTGTCTGCCCTTAAAAAGGGGCTGCGAGGGTACAGGATAAACGCATAAATTTACGTTAAAATATTCTCTCTGGGCAAATAACCGCGGGTATCGAAGGCGTTGTGAATGGAACGGAACGCTGTTTATCATTTTTCACCCGCCTATGAATTTCCACGCAGTCGGGGCTTTCGATCTCCTTCGTTTACGTTTTTTTACGATACGTTTTTACAGCACACGCGCAAAGATACTCGAAGAACCGCCTTAGAAAGAATACCGTGGAGTTTCATACTTCATTTCGACTCGATGCTCTGACGAAAAAGAAAATTTATGAAGCTTTTTCGTGCCTGAGGGAGCTCACGGTGAAAATATCAGCACGTTTCCCTTCTCTTTCCTTTTGCAACTCTTTTGTTTTACACGCCGTAAAAAAAAAAAAAACAGTCCTAGCAGGGCTGTATTTCAAAATCTCTTTTTAGTTCCTCGGGATTAAATCCCTTATTCATTCAAATATCCTTAGCTTTACCGAGTGGAGGATCGTCAGTTGCCTCGAAACTCCAAACAGACATTAATAACGTTAATGGCGCGGCGGGGTGATTCTCGAAATGTTGGTTTCAATTTTTTAAGAATAAAAATCTGAAAATCGAAAGTCCAGCGTTGCATAAATAACGCTACGCGATGTTCGTCTCGCAGCGATGCAGAACTGGATGCATCCATTTGAACAGGTTACGCGTGCATGAATAATTTTACTTGAAATGAATGTTTCAGTATTTTAAGGTTGCCTCCGTTTTCGCCTAGTTCCGGATAAATTATTAACGAAATAACAAGAAAGTGATGGAACAACGTACGAAAAGAAAGCGTGTTTCTATTAATCTCTTTAGTCCAGGATTATAAATTCGAAATAAATAATAGTTGGAATCGAGATACTTGTTAGAATTCTCGCGGGAATATCTGTGAATGGTTCAAAGACAACCATTGATAAATTAAAATCTTCATCGCAGTCGTTAAAAAGGTGAAGTGTACCATCGGGTATTCTTTATTGTCTTTGAGGAAAGCTGATGAAAAGAAAAGCGAAGAGTATCCCACGTGTGGAGGATTTATACCAATCGATACTTCCCTTCATTCGACGATATATACAATGAAAGATGGTGGTTATCGTGTGAAATTTAAACTTCCTTGGAGGGTAATAGAGAATTAAAAATCGTTTCATTTCTACGGTATCAGTGATACACTGTTCTCGAGGACGTTGCAATGAATCAAGCTGTAATTTTTTAAATATTTCTAGTAGTAATTGGAGAAGAGAAATGTATTACGTGTATCCTTCATCATTAAGTTAAAATAGCGTAAAAGTAATTTTATAGTTCACGAGGTATCCTCTATCATTCGAACGATAAATTTAAATGATAAATTCTGTCTGTACTCGAATGGGAGTTCGTGGTCTTCGAATTCATCATATTCGTTTCGTTTTTACTGAAATTACTCTGGATTAAAAAAGATTTAAGAGAATTTTCCGTAATTACATTTATACCTCGAAAGACGATAAGTCTCAATTAAGAGAGAAATATTAGATAGAACGATCATGACAGTTAACGTTATTGAGCAAGAAAAATGGTCGATTAAAGCGAAAATTATTAAGATTAATTCAAACTTGATAGTACAAATTGAACGCAGAGTAGTTTCAGACAGAATAAATTTTTTTCGAAACAAGCTGAACACGTTATAAAACGTTCGCTGGTGAATAAATTGCGTTCATTTGCTTTCGAACAACAGGGCCCGGTAAAAAGGGATGCAAATAACATTGGGGAGGATAATGAATTTCTGAGGGCCGCCCTTACTACAAGTACCAATCTACGCTCATTACAAAAACAAAAGTACATCTTGGAAGTTTCGTTTTTCTTTCGTGAAACTCGAAACTGAGTTTAACATGAGATTCGACAACAACGCAACAGTAACTCTTTGCGCTCCGTTTGCGTCGAAGCATTTACTATAAAACACAAACGAAAGACACCATGGGAACGGAGAAAGGTCGAGGAAGTTCTTTCTTCGTTCAGAATTTCATTACGAGAAAGAGTTAAACCCGTCCCAGTACTTGACTTCGTAAACTTTAATTAGATATTGCTCGCAGGACTGAAGCCAAATTTTGAATATCGTTGTTGGATCATTAAGATTCAGGGCAGAGCTCGTTGTTGGACGTTCTAGCGTGGTAAAAAGGGAGCTTCTCGTATTTAGAATTTGTTTTATAAATTCTACATGTTCGATAAAACCGTATCGAATGATATGTTAATGAGAATTCAAAAAACAGTGGTCGAAGAAATGGGAATGTTTTTTACAAAATGTAATGATACGTTTGAAAATACTGGTACAAATTCTAATAGAAAATTCGACACGAACTTATGAGACGATCTACGACATTACTTTTACGAGAATGTAGTCGCTCGAGAGTAAAAATATTCCACGATACCAGTCAGGGGTTAACACGCCATGAACGAAGGGGTTTAATCAGCGCGGAACTTTCCGTCTCCCTCTCTGCTCTAACCATTCGCTTTCTCTCTCGTGGTTGGTTACCTCTCTTCCTCGTTCGAAAATTAGGCGTCCGTGTAAGGCGTCCCAATGCCATAGTAAAATTTACTTTGAAAGAAGAGCACTCGAAAAAGGGGCAATTTCACTCGAAAAAATAAATAAAAAATGTAGAATAAATTTTGTTCCTACGTGGTTTCTTTCTCGAACTTGAAAATTCGTCTGACAATTACTTGCTATTTCTACTTGTTCTTAAAGTCGATTTTCTTAAAAATAAAATATCCTATGAAGAAATTGTATTCCACGTTTTCCACTTATTTTTTCACGTTAAATTACCCCCTTCCCTTTTTGTGGGGGGTTGTACTTTACTGGAACCCTCTCTATGCTCTTATATGCAATTGTAAATAATTAGTTTGGGAAACGCGTTGAGAACAGCGCCTGTTACTCTTCGATACTTTGTTAATTATAGATCATGGTGTCCAACTGTACATCCATACATGTATTATAAATTGCAGTACGACTCTAGTATTCCTGGCCAAGGTGGTGGGGGCGGAGAGTACAACGTTCAAACGGGTTTCGGCTGGACGAACGGCGTGGTCCTCGAGTTCCTCGACACTTTCTCGATGATCCAGGCGAGGGCGGTATCATACGAGAATGACACGAACAACACGGTTGTCGTACAATAACAGGTAGAGAATTAAAAAATAAATCATCCCCATAGATACAGTGAAATAATTCTCGGTTAGGAAATGTTACAAATTAAATTGCATGTAACAGATCTCATTCACAGTACATGACAGGCTTCACAGGAGTTTCTTACATTCATTTTGCTACCCTTAGTATACAATACTCAATATCTTTGAGGAATAATTTAAAGACTTTGTTCTATAATTCTGGAAGTAATTATCCTAAATTCTATTTAAGTTAAGGGACAGTCTGATAAAAAATCCACCTTTTTCTTCTACGAAAGTAATAGTTCTCTTTCGATATTTTAAAATTTATTTAAATCGTGACGAATTAAAAACTGAGAATTCTTTTATTATATTATTATTGTGTATCATATAATACATAATTGTGTATTAAGTTTCGTGAAAATCGGTATGCATCATTCATCAAACTTACCAGTTAACGTTGGTAACGTGCAAATATCATTGCCCGATTGTTGACTAAGTACGCAATGCCTATTATTGAGCCCCACAACAAAGCTATTTTATCGCAGCAACTTGGTCAAATTTTGGTTTCAATGCAGTATTGTGTAATTTCATAGTTGAACGCCAGAGAGCTAGGTAATGCAAACTGGTCAACAGTATTGTACTGACATTTTGCCGAACGCGTATTATCGTTCCGTGCTTCGAAAATTAAAGTTCAAACGTAATTCCGGACCATTATACGCGACCAATTTAACTATCAAAATTTATAACACAATCTGTTCGTACCATTAATCGTTTAAATATATTTAATTTCCGATCGGAATATGAAAAATAATAATCGAATAAAAATAAGAATTACAAAATTGTTACAGATAATTTTCTTGTTTCTTTTAGGTTTTATCGATGACAATGCAACGCGTATTTTCCAACGAATCTAGTCTATACGAAAAAACAGGGCAGCGCGTTTAATAGAACCACCATTATATTCGTTGAAAATCGCTTAATATTTTAAGAGAATCGTTATGTCTTGAAATACTCACATGAAAATTGTGATTATTTCTTCGGTGAGCCGCAATTCTTGTCTGTGTTAACGATAGGTACTAAAATTAGGAAACGGGTTTTGATGTAGCAATTTATTACAAAAAAAGCTACGCAAAATGTTCAGACGTCAGTTCCAAATTTAATATGAAATAATGACTTTTGGAACGCTCTGTAGAGTGATATAACGTTTACTAGTGATTTATGCTTTATAAAAGACGTCAGTATTTTGTAATATTTATCGATTCGAGCTTCGTCTGTTTCTACTAACATTTCTATCGTATACGATTCGCGGTTGTTCGTAATTTCAATAGAATTATTGGACGTTCGAGTACTTGTTTGGCACAGTCGAGGAATAATCTGCATCAGGGTGTGAACTTCGAACGATGTCAACGACGTCAACGACGTCTCGCCAATCGTATTTTTTTAGTCGAGCTTAACAAACGATACGTCGTCTATGAAATACGAACACAAAGTATAATTGCGTGTAACTCGTCAGTATTCTAATTTAATGCTAGTTGTAAACGGTAAGTTAGTGCGATTAGAAGGCTGGCATGCGTTTTCTATCGTTTCGCGTGGAGAATGACGCTGGCGACAAAACTCCGACGTATTACTGTAAGGTTACGTGTATTTAATTAGACACGCGTATCCGGAATAAACTTAACTGTAAAAAAAATCGTGCAAATTCAGCAACGTTGTGATGTAACAAATTTAGAAGGAAATGTTTCAAACAAAAAAAAAAAAAGATGATTATATTTTTAATACGCTGTTAAATCGAATTGTTACGTGGAACGAACGCAACAACGAAACCACACGTGTATGACAATAAATTAAAGTGTGTTTTACCATACATAAATATATGCATCGATTCCAACCTCCTGCTCCATATTAATATCGTGGTTAAACTTTGTGAAACGCATTTCTGTTAAAACAAGTTAAAACTTGAGACAGATCTCGCTTGAAATTTAATTAACATTACAAGCTTTGATCATCGCGGGTGCCGCGTCTTAATTGAAATTTCATAAAGATTTGCCACGTTCCTTTCAACGGAATTCGAGTAATATTGAACGTTTCAATGAAATTACAATATGTAATGTCTTAACCCAATTCTTAGCACCAAAGGGATTCCTCGGATCGCTCAAGTTCTTAAAGGCGGTAAGTATTAAAGGGCTGTAATATCAGTTTAATAATTCACTCTGTTATTTATCAAAAATATAAGGAGAAATCTTCTCCACTCGAAGTGGCCCAAATTCGTTAACGTTTAATCATATCTGTCCCGAACATCGTCGTAAAGATACTTTGACAGTCTCGTATATCACACAATCACGTTATGGGGCTAACTGTGCTCGTACGGTCGGATATAAAAAAACTTTCCAGGTTCTAATCTCCCTTTTCGTCGGATGAAAAGCCCAGTTTTGGAAAGTTTCCTGCGCATCCGTACGGAGAAGTTTGAATGCACGCGCGGAAAAGCCTATATCTGCTTAGTACCACTCGAATTCAACTTTTAAAACGTATCGCCAACATTCTTTGAGTAATGAAAATTATCTAAATATTACCTTGCATCGATATACGAGCTTTTAATAAAATTTGAATAGGAAACAAAATTAAAAATTCACGAAGATGATTCTTAAAATTAAATTATCAGCAATTGTCGTCTGTAATAGCAGAGAGTTTACGACGAATACTGTTTTAAGCTAATAGCCAAGCTTCAAGTCCCTAGTTTTATTAGTTTTTAAGGTATCCGTTCCGCAAGCTTGGGAAATGCGGTTTCGTGAAAAACGACTTTAAACTTTCCGGTTCTAATTCATTGTTACAACGCGCCGTATCCTTCAAACTCGCACAACTTTCTCGATTCTTCTTACTTCGGCTTGAAATTATACTAATTGTGGGACGACCTTCGTAGTTTGTACCGCGAAAGAGTGTGAGATTTTTTTATATCGCGAATGCAGAAAACACCATTAGAGATTCTCGATTTTCTAAAAATGGTACGCCAATTAACTCCACGGAATGGTACAATGCTATTATCGATAACTAGGTGGAATTTAATTTCTGGAACTAATCTTTATCGATTCAGTAACCCTTTAGTGTCCACTTGAGATTCAAAAGAAAACACTTTTTACATCAAATCTATTCTATATCAGAATGTTTGCCCCAATCGAATATTAAAGTAAACATCCCTATTGACAAAATTAATTCTTTGTCGCCAACGTAAACTCAATCCTCCTTCGAGCTGGCTATTCCTTCATTTTGCAAACTGATCGACGAAATTACAGCCAACGTTGAGTCTCGTTACGCCTACCATTACGCTGGTGCTGTGATTCAACGCAATTCGCGCCAATAAAGCGAAATTGAAAAACGGACGACGCAACACGATTCGCTTACTTTGTAATAAGTAGCGTCGTATCGAAATACAATTCGCAGGATTTCTCCCGCGTAAGGTTCCCGTTCGATCAGCCGGAAAAGCGATCGGGAAAAGTGACTAATGCCAAGGAAAGGGGAAGGGAAACGCGGGCCATTCCGAGGCGGATGTTTCACGAGGAATTCCTCGCGGACGTGTCGTTAGAAATTTTTCACGCTTTGCTACCTCGAAACACGTTTTACGGCGCCTCGAATTGATATTAAATTGCACCAGCACTTACCATTTTGAGTTCCATATTGCGTTTTAAGCCCGTCAGTTCGACAGGTGTTACGCAACGTAGCGTTCGATAGACTTTATTGCTCCGCGATCGAATGGAATGAAATTGCAAAACGTGTTATTCATCTCGATTCGCATACACACGGTCGTGTATGACATCCCGTCAGTAGAAACACTCGCGTTAACGCCCTTGTATCATCCGGGCGAACGTTTGTTCGTTATTTTAGATAATAGCCGATCCGGGAATTCAATGAGAAACAAGAAATCATTCGATTTTCAATCAACGTTTCGAAGGATTTGTTAACTCTACAATCTTACAGAGATTAATACGATATTAAAAGGTGACACTGAAGATGTGTGCAGTTATAGGATTGTTTACAAAATAGTAAATAATTTTTAACATTGCTCTTAATTTTGTATGTGATTATTGTCACTGGTAAAATCGTATAAAAATATTGTTTGAATACTCGAAAAAATTTAATCGAAGACATTTATCATAAAGACTAAAATCAAAACGTAAAGCCACGGTGTTTAGTACGAACAAAAGCTCGAGTACAAAGAGCATAATTTCATCTCAGATTTGCTTATCGGAGTCATTAACGAGGTTTCAGAAGCAGATCCTGCCATGGACAAGATGCAATTTGTCTTTCGAATAGTCTCCATTATTTCAAGAATATTTACTTACGAATATGAATTCGTCTATTATACAGAGTTAATAAATATCAGTACGCTTCGTTAGATGGGAAATAAATAATTAATTATTGTTTAATGAAAAGAATTTATTTACGTTTCAAGATATAATCCATTATATCTTCTATTGGAAAGTGTACTGATTAATTCTTTCAATAATAACCGATCCAATATCGTTCCACTCGAATAATATTTCAGATATTAAATCTTCTTCGTTTCGAGCGGCGTGTTTTCTATCCCACTCTATAGACGTTCCGAAGATTATGGAAGCGTGTGTAGTAGTTTGATGAAATTAAATGTATAAAACCCACTCCACCTAAATAGAAAGATTCTTAGTCGCGTGCTTTGAAGCGTTATCCCATTGAAACATAAGAGATTTCAAGATTTAAAAATAGTAATTTCGACTAGTTTATTTTTCTACCTTCCATAGACAGACGATGCAAATTGGAAATTTAACAGACGAAACGTTTCGACGGACGAGAATTTCATCGTGTTAAACTTACGAAAAATTAAACTTTTAAATTCTCTCGACAGTTCTATTGACGTTCTTATCAAGCGTCGTTTTTCCTATGCGGACAGTAGAACACGTAAAATGATTTGTCGAAATAATCCGTTCAATTTAATTCGCTAACAACGTGATATCGACGAACGAATAAAATAGAACCACTCCGCCTCTACGTGAATTTGAAAATTTCACAGAACTTAAAATATTTATTTATGTCAAATACAATTGAAACAATTTCATTTTACACCTTGAATATTTCCTTTATTCATTTTACAAAACTGTTGTACAAAATACTTATACATACATATATACATTTACAATTGACTGTGCTAACAGAATAATGAATTAGATAGTCAGAATCAGTCTTCCATAAGTAATTAGCAATTATTATTAACTCTAATTTTGCTTAGAATTTCTAACATACAATCTTATTTTAGCGTCATTAAAGCTAAAAGGAATGTTTTTTTTTCGTGAAAAAATTATTTATTAATAAATATCAATTTAAAAAAATCAATTATTTGTTGCTTAATGGATCAAGGAATATCTAGTTTTCTTCGTTACGAGGGAAAGAAAAAGCAAAGGGCTCTTCGTAGGTGGTTGCGTGTCGCTAAATCTCATTACTTCTTATGCTTCTCGCCATTGTTGTAGCCCAACTTATAGAAATCTTTCAGCACCGCGTTGAACGTTACGGTAACAATACCCTCCACTCTCATGCGCGTGACTGCAATTATAAAGGGGAAGTTATGTGACTCGAGGCTGCCCTTCATACCGCGGAGAAACATCAGGTGCGCATAGCTTTCTGTACAGTTCATAGCGGGTGGAAATCTCGGAATATAAACGGTGTTTCCGAGTTAAGAGCTTCATTTAAACCACTTTAATCCGTTATCCCATAGAACCGTGAAATCATAAAATCTCTGGGGCTGTAAATCGTTTAGTGCGCCCTCAATATAGATACACGATTTACGAAAAACCCTCCTTTTGCTCTTTGAAGTTTGAGTTCGTATCAAAAAGTTGTATTGTTCTCGAAAACCATTTCAGCACTTTTGAAGTGTACATTACATAAAAGAACATAAAATATATCCTTCTTAAAGCGATGTAACGTTTAGATCGGTGTTAAAGAAGAAGTCAAATTTCATTATCGAACTTCGAAGCTGGCAGGTTTTATTTTTTTTTTTTTATATATTTCCGATATCACTAAAACCATTTTATAGAGTAAATTTTACAGAGGAATTCTCGAGAAATGGATCTACATTTTTTATTACAGATCCATGTAATACTTCGGTTTAACGCGACCAACAGTTGCTAGACAGTCTGAAATCTTTGGGTTTCAAATAGGGACTAAAATCTTGAGATCCCTCAAGAAAAATTCTTTAGTAATGTTGGTATATTTTAAAAATATTTCTGTTCAAAGTAAATACTAATTTAATCATCTTCTAACTAATGGTCATGGTCATCCTCACATCTAAACTGTAACACCCTTTGAACACAAAAGGTAATTTGTCTAATTGTTATTGAATTTCGCGTTTCACGTCCTAGAATGTTTTAGAGAACATTCACGCTGAATACGGTATGGAATGTATCGTGTAAAATGTATAGCGTTGTATTTATTGACACTAAAAAGTAATATTAAACGCATCGATTGACGCGACTTCCAGAATTTGATATGCACAATAGTTAAATTCATTTGCCCATTGATACGGAATGTGCATGTTAATATATTCGACGTATCGACTGTCCTAAATACGCTGAATCCCCAGGAGTTCAATTAATTTAATGTCAGCAGTACGTCACAGCGGACCAATGTAAAATCGTTCCAAATATTGCCTTACGTTCTCTTCCGCCGCCAGAGGCCAATATCGCTGGATCAATTAGTTCTGGCCTCCTACCAGTTAACCAGGCTGCAAATCGTTGTAATGTCGAAGAAGACTCCGGCACGTACACCGATACCCTGCGGAACGTTGGTGTTTTAGAGCAATCGTTAATTACGAGAACTTAATTTCATTACGTCACGCTCGAAAAGAATCGCGCGAATGCATTATGGGACAGTTTGGTAGCTAGAGGCGAAAGCTAAAACCTTGATAAATTAGATAACAAATTATTTGGTGAGAAATATTTCCAGACGAATAGCTTAATACCTTTTCTCGTGATGACCTGTCGTTAGCGGTAAATGACATACTCCGTAACCTCTGATGACATCGTGTCCAAAGATGTCCAGACCGTAGATTGATATTATTAGCTGTGGCCCTGAGACATAATTTAGTCGCCTAATTTTAGAAGCCCCTCGTATTTAAAAAAAAATAATTTTGGGTTTAATGAAGGTTTAACTGATTTTGTCACATACTATACAGTTGACTCTAATTTCTAAAAGCATAGTATATAAGTATGCATTAATATTATCCGGATGTTGAGAAATATATCGTGTTAGAAAATTATATTCGAGCTTGTGAATCCTGAAGAGAGGCAACAAGTGGCCGAAATATTGAAAGATAAGTAATATTATACCTTGGGAAAGAATGTTCTCTGACCAAAGAGTTTGAGTTTACACCCTATCGAGAGATCATGGAGGGATTCCGTAATGCCAGGTGGGAACCGGTCGGAACGAATAAACGTCATCTTTTGAAACTTACATCCGTGCGGATTGGTGCTTCTGAACGTGATTTCTAAGGGAAAGTTCCAAACGGCTAAGTTTCGAGGGTCGCTGCTACACTTACACATCTGCGTCAGACCCTCCTCGATACCCTAACGGAATTTTTATGAGCCAATAGACCGTCGTCGAGGTGCCAAAATTCACGTTGGAAAGCCCTGTTCGCTGTTCGGTTTCAGCGACGACACGGCGTCCGAATTATGAAATAAAAAATCACTCACGGCGACCACGCTCCATTCGGGCCCAAAATGAAATCCGTACTTGCAGTAGGCGTTATCGACGTCGTAAAATTCCGCGTGCTCGATGGAACCGGTGATCGATAGGAAAAATTCACCCTCGACCGACATGACGAATAGAAAGAAACTCACCGGTTCCGCGTTCTATGCACGATGTACGCGTTTTATGGAACGGGAAGAGCTTTCGGACGGAAGATCGTAAAGAACGTACGCCTATTTGCGTTCTTCGACCGCTTTGTATACATTTATGAGAATTCGTCGTCGTGGTAACGAAGCATGCGCCCCACTTTTGTGTGGAACATGTGGTGCGTTTGATACTTAAAAGACTCCGGGGTTGGGGGGCAACGGTAATGAATTTTCCCTTTTGATATTCGAAAAGCAGCACTCGTTTTAGTTAACTGTCACGCGTGTGTGTGACTTTTGGTTAACGTTGTCTCGATGTCGCTAAAAAAAGACACTATTTCGTAACGAAGTAAGTACGACTAATAGAATGGAGGCCAATTTGCAAAAGTTAATATTATAGATCGTTTGTCGCGTGATATTTAAATGTATCGCCTTACATCTGTGTTTGATGAATTTACAGATGAATAAATCAACGTTAGATTTTGATTACATAGCTGTAGGATATATGTTAATATATTTTAAACTCTTCCTTAATTTTAAGAAAATTTATTAATATAGTTCATCTAATTAATGAAAAAAATTTTAATTCTCTTTTGTATAATATCATTCAGAATTTTAAACTTTCCGAAGCTTAGCTACTAGACAGCTTACCATACGAGCCACTTATGGCAGTTCACCAGTGACAACATTTAAAAACATGTGATCGCTGAAAATAACCACGACAAGATAAAACAGTATGAATTTCTTGTTCAATAAACAAGAAAGATTTCTATAATAACAGCAGATGGCAATAATTACTGAACTCAATTATTATCAACATGAATTTATCATAATTACCACAGATGATTTATACGAGTGGACCTTACATCCAATGTATTTTTTCAGCCCATTTTTCTGGGGCCCTAGAACACTATTACAATATTCGTGGTACTCGCAACATTACCAACAGGTTACAGAAATGGACACAACATGAAGCGAGACAGAAAATAATATTACATATTATATTTTCGGTAAAGAATTTTTTTCCTCGAAAGTGCGTAAGATTTCGAGGGTATGTCTATCCACCAAAAATGATTGTAATTGACTCCCACAATAGAAAATAATTTTTTTAGAACGATTCGAAATTTTTTAATTTCGCCGAAAAATTTCGGCACCTACTCGAATTTTTTTCTCGAAAGTGCGTAGAATTTGCGCAGTATGTGTATTCACCAAAAATGATCGTAATTAACCCCCACAATCGAAAATATTTTTTTTAGAACGATTTGAACCAATTTTTTTTACCGAAAAGTGTCGGTAGAATGTTCCTGGTCAGACATTGTATTTTCGGTTAGGAATTTTTTTCTCGAAACTGAGTAGGATTTCTGGGGTATGTGTAGTGACCAAAAATGATTGTAAAGTCTACTCATATACCTCGTCTGTGTGATTATCACGAATATTAATTGTTATCTTTAAATGGAGAATACAAGGACACACAAACACAATACGCGTTTCGCTACGGAGTTTTTTTTATTTATTCTTCGAATAATAACAGCGATCTTACATTTTATTTTGTTAGTCGTATCTAGAAAACTGTATAGTCACAATGTTTCCTACATGATGAACAATATATACACAAGATTCCAAGAAGTGATAACTCGCACATGACAGGATCACGCAATCTCGGCGTGCCGTCGATGGACTGTACACGTTTTAAAAATGAACACGTTGGCACGTTCGAATTGCGTGTTCGACCGGTGCGTATGGAAAATTCTCTTCGCTTTTCGCCACAAAAAGAAACTAAGACGAACTCTTAGCGCGCGATTTCAGTCGCCGGGAACCGGCATGGCGATCTAAATAATTCGATTACTCCTTTCCTAGGTTTAACGAGTACTAGAAACTTTGCTAGACGTGAGCTTCGCTCGACGCGGTTTATCGTTCGCGTTGATATATCGTCGTGGAAAAAAAAGACGCGTTAAAAACCTATTACCATCGTTGTTCATCGTACAGACTCCTTTCGAGCGACCTTCTCGACTCCGCGAGTACTTTTCGTCCGGTACTTTCGCGATTACAGACATCTACCTGGGAAATTAGAATGTCGCGCCGAAACGAATCTTCGTTCGCGATTCGTTATCGGTATATACGTAACTAACTACGATCTTGCACGTCTTTGCGAACGATGACGGTCCTTCGCAGTTCCTGGACGGTCGGACGCGTTTACTTTCCAGCTGCGATCTCCTTCATACGATTCAGAGCGGAGCCTGCTTTGAACCAGGATATTTGTTGCTCGTTCAGCGTGTGGTTCAAGCTGATGCTGTCGACTTTGCCGTCTTTGTGCTTGATCTCCGCTTTCACCGGCTGCAAAATGAAAGAGGCTCATTAAAATCTAAACACACTAAAATACGAGAAAAAGTTCATAGTAGTTTCTGTCTCCCAGCAATGTTTATGACAAATTAACCATTTGCTTCGACTGTTCATGAATAATGTTCTATAAATAATTTTCGTTTCAATTGATAGTGACAGGTTACATAAATGCATACACGACACATATTTTCTTATTTTAGCGTGCCTCTAAAGTGGCTCTCAACACCTAACCCAGACCAAAGAAATTAAAACGATAATTATGGTAAATTCTTATTAGAGATTACGAATGGGTAATTTTGACTGCTCTGGTAGTTCTAGTGTGAATTAACTGTCACCTAAGCAACTATCACAATCATGATACATACCTTTCCAGGAGCCAGATCCTTCAATCCCAGAAGGCTGATCTTGTCCGTGGGTTGAACCTTATCGTAATCGCTGGGGTTCGCGAAGGTCAGAGGCAACAGTCCCTGTTTCTTCAAGTTAGTTTCGTGGATACGCGCGAAGCTCTTCACGATGATGGCGCGACCGCCAAGATGTCTTGGTTCGAGAGCAGCGTGCTCGCGAGACGAACCTTCTCCGTAGTTCTCGTCTCCAACAGCCACCCACCTGACGCCATTCTTCTTGTAATGTCGGGCAACGTCCGGTACGCCTCCCCATTCGCCAGTCAGCTGGTTCTTGATCTTGTTCACCTCACCATTTTCGGAGTTTACGGCGCTGTAAAATTTACGCGAATGGATCGAACGTTATTTCGACGGTTCGAGGCATAGGTAGATGGTGAAACTTACCCGATGAACATGTTGTTGGAGATGTTGTCCAAGTGGCCACGATATTTCAGCCAGGGTCCGGCTGCGGAGATGTGGTCGGTGGTGCACTTGCCTTTTACTTTGATCAACACCGTCATATCGGTGAGATCTTTACCGTCCCATTTGTCGAACGGATCCAGCAGCTGCAATCTCTGACTTTTTGAGTCCACGTCGACCTTGACTTTCGTGCCATCGGATGGCGGTGCGTCGTAGGTGTCCATGCCAGCGTCGAAACCGCGGCTTGGGAGTTCGTCGCCTGAAAAATTAATGAGAAACATTTTTATAGTCGATAAAAGCAGCGAGAATTCTTGAATATTTTATACATTCTTCACACGAGTTCCTTAAATAATGAAACATGATTATTCCTTCTGGCCTCTGCATGTGAAACAAACAACGTAATTAGCAACATCGAGCATGTGGAATTCTGTACGTGTTAATTGGAAGAACAGCACGTTTCTTCATTGATATTCTTAACTGACATTTGTCAGTCAGCACGTAGATTTAAATGACTCTGATGTGTCTATAAACAGATTTTCAAAATTTACTTGGAAAAGACCTGATACAAAATTCATCCAATTTTATTTTATTCGAAATTCTAACGACACAGAAACATGTGTTTTTATCTGCAAATACGACCAGCATTGATAAATTGTACGCAGACGGTTTTGACGCGTTGTGAAAGAGATATCACGAACTATGACTCATGTGTAATTATTCGGAAGCTAGTAATTGGACTCTTACGGCGATAAATTAATTTCTTTGTGATACCCGACACTTACCAAACGGATCTTTCAAAAGGAATTCCTTTCCATCTTTGCCCTTCAGTTTGTCCTTCACGGGGTTGAAATCTAATCGACCAGCGATAGAAAGAGCCGTGACGAGTTCGGGGCTGGTGACAAAGGCGTGAGTCGCGGGGTTGGCATCGTTTCGTCCTGTGAAGTTACGGTTATACGACGTGACGATTGTGTTCTTGTCGCCTTTCTTGATGTCCTGACGGTCCCATTGACCGATGCAAGGCCCGCAAGCGTTGGCCAGGACGGTTCCTCCAAATTCACGAAGCGTTTGCGCCTACGCAACAAGCGTCAGTTTCGAGAATTGTTTATGGCTTCCAAAGTTTCATAATTTGAACGTTTATCTATTGCACAAGTATTAGACTATCTTACCCAGGTTAAAAGTAAAAACTTAAATTGGCAATATTTATTTAAATTTATTTGGATTTTCATTTAATATGAAAAAGTATAAGAAATACTTCAAATAAGATACGAATTATTATATTTTGGGGTTGAGACCACCCTCTACGAAGCTTCCATCTCATCAATTCTATTAATAAAAATTTTAATTTTCATAAAGATTTATTCACGTTGAGAACGAGGAAACAAATTTCCCCAATCGATGATAATTTTATTAAATTTATTATTGCTCGATTCTTCGACCAATAAAATGCAAAACGACGAAATATCTCAGAAAAACGATAACGCGGTCGTTCTATAATTAGCAACCGTTTGTTTCCCAAGTTTAAGTCGACATTGATATTACAAAGCATCGAACAATGGAAGGAACGCGAAAAAATTCCAACATTGAAACCCAAGCATCCGACGTCGAAAGAAACGATGGAGGCCAGGTATTAATAGCGAGAGAGAGAGTAGTTTGGCGAAGATAAGATACACCGAAAGAAGTTCAAGAGCTGTTTTTACGGATTACGTATGCCAGTTTTACGTAATAACCATCCGTTCGGGAACTTCACGAATACCGTGCAGCGACGTAATCCGACCAGACTATTTTCCTCCTGAAGCTATACCGTGCGGATTCTCGTGTTTCTATTTGTTCTTTTTACATTGTCAAAATACATCGATCCAAGCCAAATTAAGAATTGGCGTAGGTCGCGTCGTCATTGGTAAGTGACATGTACCAATGCCTGGCACCGTGTCAGAGACTGTGCAACTTTGAATTGTCTACGAGCTTTCTAACAGAGGTGCAAGTCGATCGCGCGTAAATGCATACTTACGATTCCGTCACGCTCGATGGTGGCACGGATTTGTTCCGATCCCGGTGTGACATTGAACGCGGACGTGGATTTCAAGCCATGGTCGAGAGCCTGTTTCGCGATGTTCGCGCAACGGCCCATGTCTTCGTAGGAGCTGTTCGTGCAGGAACCAATTAGACCGACCTTGATCTCGTTAGGCCAACCGTTCTTCTTGGCAGTTTCACCTGGTCGCAATTATCACGGTTCATTGTAGATTATTGTAAGCGATTGTTACCTCTCTCATTGATCTAAAAAGACTTCGATAATGAAGCACGAGGGGCCGTAGCGTTCCGCGACCTACTTACCCAATTTCGAGATGGGATGAGCGAGGTCGGGGGTGAACGGTCCGTTCACGTGCGGTTCCAGCGTGGAGAGGTCCAACTCTATGATCTGATCGTATTTGGCGTTCGCGTCCGCGGTCAGGAGGCTCTTTTTGTGCATGTCAGCCGCTCCAGCGATGTCACCGCGACCGGTCGCTTTCAAGTAATCCTGCATACGATAATTGTAGGGGAAGATCGAGGTGGTGGCACCGATCTCGGCACCCATGTTGCAGATAGTCGCCATACCGGTGCAACTGATGCTGTCGACGCCGGGTCCAAAGTACTCGACTATGGCCCCTGTGCCTCCTTTCACGGTGAGTATGCCAGCTACTTTCAGAATGATGTCTTTCGGGCTGGTCCATCCTTTCAAGCTGCCGGTCAGCTTCACGCCGATGACTTTCGGGCATTTCAACTCCCATGGAATATTGGCCATCACGTCGACAGCGTCTGCACCGCCCACACCGATGCACAGACATCCCAAACCACCTCCGTTCGGTGTGTGGGAGTCTGTACCGATCATCAACAGACCGGGGAAAGCGTAGTTCTCGAGGATGATCTGATGGATGATACCGGAGCCGGGATTCCAGAAACCGACGCCGTATTTCGCGCCGGCTGTCTTCAGGAAGTTGTACACTTCCTTGTTGATGTCTTTGGCTCGTTTCAAATCCTTGTCTCCGCCGACTTGAGCTTCGATCAAGTGATCGCAGTGAATCGTCGAGGGGACGGCGACTTTCGGCAATCCTGCAGAAAGAAATCCGTAGCTACGTGAAACGAAACATCGAAAAGTACGCGCGTAAGAGATAGGGTGTTACGTACCGGAGCTGATAAATTGCAACATGGCCATTTGGGCTGTTGCGTCTTGCATCGCCACGCGATCAGGTCGTAACCTAAGATAGCTGGTGCCACGGGCGATCTCTTGTTTGCTGGGATCATCGAGGTGAGAGTACAAAACTTTTTCGGAAAGTGTCAGTGGCCGGTTCAACCTAAGACAACAGGATTTAATATTTTCTATCAATACACAGGATGAAAAGGGAAGTTTTCTATTTGCTAAAAATTGAAGAGTTAAAACTTTCTAAAAAATCAGGGTCGCCTTGACTGTTTCGAATGGTATCTTCGTTTTACTCGGTTTCGTTATAGTTAACGTCGAGGCGAGGAAAATTATTCCATTCTGATTGAGTTTTACATAATTATATTAAATTGAATTTTACGTAACACTGCTACTTTTTATCTGAGACCAGAACTAAATATTATAGTACGTTTAACGACCACAAACTCATTACGAGAGAAGTATGAAGAGTGATTAAGGTCGTTTCAATGTTATAGATTACGAGGTCGTTGAACTTGGCACCAGCTGCAACACAATGAAGTTAAAATTAGACAGTGCCACTTAAACGAGTCAAGGTGACATTGATCTTTTATCAAAAAATTGACGTTGTAATTGGCAGGTGATAAAGAAAACTGGCTTCTGTTTGTAATGTCTGTTCTCGGGTTATTGGAAGAGTCTAAAAATAGATACGTGAAATAGAATGCTCTATAATATGTAAAACTCAGAATTATTTCAGTTGGATGTCGAATGAACTGACTAAAGGCTCTAAAGAGATATTTCTCGTACCTTCTCTTTACAGCTTTGAGATTCTCTTCCAATTTATCGTATGGAAGGTAGCTCGTCGAGTCGAATTTGGACATTGCCACCTTCGCGGCAGCGGAACTTAGTGCGCTTACACTGAAACATCTTTGTTGGATGTCTGCCGCGAATACGACCAGCCTCTGTAAAAGAAAATATTAATCGTTTATCGTTACATCGATCCTTTTTCAATACGATACAAAAGAAAATTTGTTTAGAGCAAAGAGCACACGTGCCCATATATTTTAAGCAACGATAAATTATAGAAAACTTACGGAATACATAAATTCGTGTTACTATAATAAAATTTTATTTTGAATTAAAGGAATATCAAAATTAACACGGTGGACTTTCATAGACAGTAATAGTACTCCATTGCAAACAACTCGAATGCACTTTGACTACAATTAAACGGAATGTCTTAGCGTGGTCCTATAATAAGGCAGAAACGTTGATAAATTATATTTATAACAATTTCAAGTTTAACTATTGCATAAGAAACATTGCATCTTACAGTATTGAGTCTCTAAATGATTTCATTTACGAACCAGTATGTTCCAAGCCTGTTATCTCGAATGCAGAAGATACGGTTCAGATTTATTATCAATAAAAGTGTCATTCTGTGCATATACGAGTACAAAGTAAGCCATAAATAAACGCTAATTTTGAATAGTAGTTATTTTTAAGCATGTGTAGCTATAAATTACGAGGTCGTTAAAAAGAACAGTTTAAAAAAACGATTACAATAATAGAAAAGAGTATAACTATGTATTACGAAATAGCATGCGAAGATTCGTCTATACGCGTCGTCAGTTACGCAATTCCCTTATTCGCGAACATCAAAACTGTAAACGAGTCTAGTCGAAAACGATTATAGTCGTAATATTACGTTCAATTGTGTCACTACAATCTGAAGAACGCGTTATCAGTTTTAATCAGCACCTTCGTCCACGCATGGTTTTTATTACTCTTCTAAACCAAAGCATCGGGTTCTTTGGTGATACATATTATACATATTTTCCGTTCGTCTATACGCGCCATACATTCCGCTTCTGCGCAATGATCGCACACATAACCTCGAAGTCTTCCAAAAATGAACCAGATACATATATATACGCGTCAAAACAGATTATGTAACGTACAAACAAGAATTTTTTTTATTTCTCTGTCCCGTCGATCTTCAATACCGTTATCGCTACGAATGTCAGTTACTGTTATTGCGACGTCTGTCACACTTCCAGTACGTCACAACTCTAAAATACCAGGTCAACAGCGCAGATCATGTGCTCCATTAACAGGCTACAACACTCTCTCTCTAATTTAACGATAAAAATATTAAACGATCTTCGATCGGGGACAGAATGGGAGCGAGAAACTGTGCGACCTATTATTTGCTTTGGCTTCCTAAAATTTTTAGAGCTCCAAAGGATATATACATTGTTCCAAACAATTAAAGGATCACACTCCTAGACAATTAAAACAAATAATAACAGGCAAAAGGTTCACTGAACACGTCCATGTTATATCAGACGTGCTCGAAAATTTCGGAGCACGGAGCACCTCGTCCAGGAAACGAGTAATTTAAATTAACGATCCATTAATCATCGTGAACAGCGTATTATCGTAAACATTTGAATAAAACATCCACTTTTCATTACGCTCGAATAACACGATCGACCTTGTTAACGAGGTCGAACGTCTTCGATTCGAATTGGAGCAGATCGTTCGCGCACCGGGTTCGCGGATCGCACGTTTCGCTCGTGGATTTCAATTTATTCTAAATGTACGGTGATCGCGATCGTACCTGGCCGCCGAGAATCCGTGTGCAGTACGACATCGTCTACGAAGCAAGCCTCCAGTGACGTTGTCGCGGGTCGTGCCGAAATATGGGTATCTGGACGCAAGGGAGGCGCAGGCGCGTGATCAGGAACAAAAAAAAATATTTATTCCTCCCGTGGCAGCCCTTCTCAAACCGGCCACTTCAGAACTGAGGTAAATTCGGCTTGGCTTTCTCATGTCGATGCAGAAGAACCACGCATGCGCCTCGTACGGGATCAGGAACGATTTGAATGCGAACGTTATCGGAACGACACGCCAGCGCCCCCTTCGCTGGCCATTTCTCGGAAAATAACGATACCGTGAGACCTTGTCGGCGACGCTCTGACACGGCGGACGATCACCTGGTTCGTTCCCGCATCGTTGAATCGATGCCAGTGCTTGGTAGAGCTCTGCAACTCGTGGCGTTTCATCATCGACGAGATAACTCGTCCGTAGTTTCTCGATGAACCCACGCAGCGCGATGGTCGCCAGAGCGACGATAAAGAATGTGGTATTTGCACGTGGTAACGGATGTATCGACACAGCGCGGCAATCACAGGTGAGACACGCTTTGGCGTTACCTGTGATGATTCCGTGAACGTTCGAAAGAGGGCCCCAAACTCGCGAGGGGCCTCGTTCGCTATCGATTGGACGCGAACTAAGCAAGGGTCAACGCTTTTCTGACGACGAGCAGCTGCTCTAGACGCCGGGAATAATTTTAGATCGGAGCTACCACGACGTGTAACGCTGAATGTAACTCAGCTGTGACGTCATGTAAGCATCTGCCATCGAGCACAGCTCGATAAGATAGCACGATGCTTGTGGCGAGTTCTTTCATTGGTCTTCGCGCTGTTCGAATAAATTTTACGGACAATTTGTGTATCTAGGTAACAGGATGGATAAAGAAAGATTAGATAGATCTGATTTAAATTACAAATTGACTATCTTTTTGTCAAAATTAATTAAATCACTCTCAGAATCTAGAGCAGTGTACGTTGAGAAAGATAGGAAAAATAACGACACTCGCAGATAAGATTAGTAAACGTTCGCGTGGAAAATTAAAGACGAGCAACTACAGCTGATTTTGCCAATTTTTAAGTTTAGAAACTGAACAACGATTAAATTTCAATAATTACCATGTATGATGAAGTTATAGGAGGATTAGAATTTGTGCAAATTAAAATTCTTATTTTTCAATCGTCTTGGAATAAATTTTAATTCATAAGAAGTATCCATGTTTACAAAAAACATTGATAAATTAGTCTGGCGATAAGGAATCGTATTAAGATACCCCGAAAATAATTACGTATTTCGGAGCTTTAATTTGTTAAGTCACAAATACGAGGCAGTATAATTTCAAAGCATGATTATCTGTAGTCGTTTGCCATAATTCCCAAAGCAATTGCATTCCTCTGGAACATCATGCTGATTATTTGGACGCAAAAAGACGCCGCGCGTCCACGTTTGATGTCGTCATTACCGTTGAATTATTTCCCGCGTAAAAAGTGTACCATTGTTCGGAGAAGATGATATGTGGTTGGACGGAACAAGGTCTGAACAATAATTATTAAATCGTAGGAGATACGAAGAAACGTAACAAGATTATATTTGCACGAAAATTAACTCTACAGACGATTAATATTTTCTAGGGATATTTAATAAAATAGAATTTACTTATTACGAAAGGACTTTTGACCGAATTTAAAAAGAAATTAATAGTATTATGATTGCCACGGGGCTATGTCATGTCAGTTTTGCTCGTCATTATGGTTTTTGCAACTTCACCAGCTCACTGAACTATTGTTTGCTTACGAACGATTGCGAAAATTTAGAAGAGACGCGTCAGCTTAACAATCGCCTCCTCATTAAAGTAGAAAAAAATACGTTGCGCAACTTATTCAAACATTTCAAGAGATAGTTACAGTGGCAAAATAATTTTTTCAGAATGATTTGAAAAAATTTTTTTTTCCCGAAAAATTTAGGCAACCACCTGTCGATTTCTCTTAAAAATTCGTTTTTGATTTTTAGTAATTTTGTTTGACGCCCTGCAGAAAAGTTGTCTAATACCTTCCTGTAGATACCCATGAGTTCTACTTCAGAAAAAAGTTTCATTGAAATATATTCACTATTGTAGGAGTTATGGCTGTTTGAAAATTGGTCCATTTTTACGGAGTTTTTATAACTTTACGAGGTCAAGGAACAACTTTTTCAACATTTTCAGAATTTCTACACATTCTCCATTAAAATACGCGTCGTTTGCTTTTTTAAACATTAAAATCCTTCGATCCGTTCAGCAGTTATGATATTTTAAGTATTCGCATGAAAATTCGGGCAGACATTTCTAGCCAGAAATGATATTTTCGCAAAGGAATTTTTTACTCGAAACTGAGTAGGAATTCGGGGATGTGTCTATTGACCAAAAATGATTGTACCTGATCTCCGTGACCGAAAATAATTTTTTTAGAACAATTTGAACAAATTTTTTTTCGACGAAAAGTGTCAGTGGAATGTTCCTGGTCAGACATTACATTCTCGGTTAGGAATTTTTTTCTCGAAAGTGCGTAGGATTTCGGGAGTATGTGTATTCACCAAAAATGATTGCAATTGACCAGTGCAACCGAAAATAATTTTTCCGGACTGATTAGAAATCTTTTAAAGAAGCCTCAATCAACAAATTGACATTTTTGATTTTCATCTATTTTGTTCCCTAAATAATATCCTATTACCAGTATACGCCACAGATATACTGATCTTATAATGTGTTTGTGATTTCAATTCAATTCGAAAAATTGGCGCGTTTTTGCCTCCGGTGACCTTTGACACGCCGCAGCCACGAAACGCAGGACGATGTATCGCCGGTGGTACGGAACGTGGACGATAAAGGAATAAAAATGAAAGTAGAGAGTGGCGGTCGGGGCGGGCAGTGACAGACGGCGAGTTCTCAGTTCGAGAATAAAGTTTGCAAGTCGTCGCCGTGGAATTTGGAGCTGCCGATCGCTATGATAACCGGGCGCACGATATCTTAAGCCGCTTTGACTTTACCACGACGACGATGCGATAAAGCGATTACGTTTGGCTTTGTATCATCGACTACGTCGGAGATCTTATTCGTGGGCGAGCCGGGATCTTTGGACGCGATGTTTTTGAGGTATCGGCGAACGGTGAGTTGGAAAGTTCCGGCCAGGTAACTTTGCCCCGAATCTGTTGAAAGTATCGATCGTTTTAAACTTGAAACGACCGGGGCCGAAATGTCTTTCGTTTTAAAAGGAAATAGAGGGCTGAGCGCCGACATCGGTACCTTTAAGCCGAAGGAGAAGTGATGTCCTCGGGATATCGGTGAACGAAATTGGCAAAAGTTCGGCACGCATATTCGTGTTTAATGACAAACGTAAAGAAATATTTAATAAGACGCTGGGAATACCGGCGCGTTGCAACACCGCGTATTGTATGTACACGTTCGATTAAACGTACTTTATTTTCTGCATAATTTAATTTTTACTCTCACACTCGAACTTGGTAATTTACACTTTCCACAAAGAACAACTAAATTTCATTTAGATTGGACAAAAATAGGATTCATAAGGAAATCAAAAATACACTGATTCTAAATATGAATAGATAATTTCGAATGCGTAGGTAGAGGTACACTCCCTTTCGGGTTCTAAATAAATTGTAAAATTTGAATATCATTACACACGATTTAAAATTTGAATTGACGATTATATATAATAGTCTATTTGTTAAATTTCATTTTTTATTTTCCATCATAATTAATACTGTCCCCAAGGGAGAGTACGTGGGTGTGTTCTGTTAGAAAGAGCAATTAAATCCCCTCTACGAGCGAGTTTATTTAATTACTTTAACGACGCGGGGTCAATTGTTTCTCTTCGGAGGGGCTGGCTAGGAACGCGCTGGAGGAATCGGGGTAAAAAAGTTTCCAGCGTTCGAATCCCTGGAAAGTTACGGAAACTCGTTGCTCGATTTTCTTAACCGAAGCCTTGCGAACGAAGTGAAAAAAAAGCAATCACTGCGTCACATTATGGTGTCATGGGTGAAACCAGCGATTCGATCGAACCGAGTTAATCGAATACCGATCGTCTATTATTTCCACCCCATTACGCCATTATAAAATCGGTCGATCGTTGGCGCGGCCTTTGTTTCACGACTACAGTGATCTAAATATCCAGCCTGATGAGCGATACAGATGTCTCATAAAGAAGATACGCGTAATTCGTTCCTGGGAACGCGTAGGAACAATAAGGAGATCATTTCTAGGTACGATTAAGTCAATAATCTAGAATGCACGATGAGTTCAACGTTTGAATATACGATACCTCGTGTATATTAATTATTTCTTGATAAATATCGCAGAAACTATTTTATTAAAATTAGGAATCGAACTGATTACTATTGTCTAAAACACAAATTGAAGAGGCATCGATGGCTGATCTCTAAAGCCTTGAAGCTTCGAAATATGAGCACCGGTGTTGGAATGCGTCTGAATTCTTTTACACTCTTTGTCATCAAATGGATAATCGAGAAGTGAATAACACTGATTCACTTGTATACGTAGGGTTAAGAGGGTATTATACGAACCAGAGAGAAGGCTCGTTGAGTCCTTGACATGATTAACTCAAGTTGTAGGTGGACCACGTTTCGACATGCTCGCGTTGATTCTGTTTATTGTTCCACAGACGTATCCTTTCGTTTTCAATTTCACCGTAGCCTAACAAATTTTCGTTTCGATCGTCCAAACGTGGCACAATACGTTCAACCACCTCGTTACGTGGAATATTTTATACTCGATAAATAAATTCACCCAAACTATATTAATATCTATCGCGTTTGGAGGCTATAAATAAGCTCGAAAGGTTGTTCCATTGTTGATTCATATGTTGTTACAGAAAAGTAGGCGATGCGATTATAATTGGAGATTGTTAAAGCGGGCTTCGTTAAATAAAAGGCTCAAGGATCGGTTCTAATCGTAATATAATTGTTACGATCGTTACGTCGTTTCTTTATAGGAACAGCACGGTCACTATAACAATATAAAAATAAATGACAAAACTATTTACCAGGTTTGGTTTAAAGATGCATCTTTAATTGTGTTTTTTATTTTCATTGTTCCTTCTACGTCCCTTGTGATCGAAGTATCACCTAGGTCATTTCGTTCCTTACCTATTAATGGATAGGAAGAATTCTCAACGTCTGAAGGACTTTCGCGCAATGACCAGTT